TTTAAATTATAGATTTTTCTAAAAACATGTTAATATTATATATAGAAAATAGGCAAAAACTATGATTAATGCAAAAAAAGTGAGAAATGTTTATATATATATATATGCATATATATATATATATACTAAATTTAATTCTCTATAAGTACTACCAAATTGAATAACTAAATACATACATCAAAATGTAAATAAGGAAAGAAGCTACATTTATGTAAATGATTTAACATGAAGAAGTTTTAATGTATATGTATGAAAGGCTTAGATTTATTCTAACATTTCTCTGTTACATTAGTTATGCATAGAATTTAGAATCATAAACATATGAAAAAAAAGAGCATTTTTTGAAGTAAAATTAGCTCCTTTCTTTAAATAGTTAAACTCATTTTGGTGTTTGTTAGGCAGCCTGTGCCTATGGAACATGTGTCAAGCAACCCATACATTTTGCAAAAACATCTGATGGTAATATGTGGAAAAATGCACACATACAAAAAATAAAAATGTAATAATTAATTATACAATATAAAAAATATATAATTTTATATTATAATTAAATAATAATAATAAATTATTTTAATTATATAATTTAATTAAAAATTATATATTTATATATTTCAGACAAGTCAGCAACAACAATAATATCAAAGGAAAGAGATGAAGAAAAAGAAAAAATAGAACATGGTGACTTGCTGCAGCATGTCAATTAAATTTGCTTATCCCTATCAATTTTACACTTTCATGTTGAAGCTAAATCTAGTGCACACACATTTGTACCCCACATCAGAGATCTGCCACTTGTTTTGTTTTTTCGTAAATCTCAAGAGTGTGTGTGTTCATGTTGAAACCTGGTGTTGGGCTACTGTGCAGGCTCTGCAGAGAGTCTTGTCCATGGATTGATGACAATTCAGCCAAGTACAAAAAACTGCAGTAATTCTGGATGCAAACTTACTATTATCATAATAGTAAATTGGAATATAGGTTGATCAAAATGCACCCTCTCCTGTCTGTGACTATAACCCTTTTTCAACTCCCACATGCTTCAGACCCCAGCAGCATTCAAAATTCTTACATGCTGGCTTCAGAAAAAACCCAACTGGCAGAATCCTTGTCCCATTCAAATATTTAACATCAGAAACAGGAAGGCAGGGAAATGGTACAGGGAGCCCCAAACAAGGGCGGGAACAAACTAGAGAAACCCATCCTTTGCTCCTCCTGGTTAACAAACTTGTTGGTGTGTAAACATCAACAGATGGGTGTTCTACGTCTCCAAACATATATATAACAAATGGGGTGCAAAGCTTGTGAAGAGGAGAAGTCACTAATAGGACAATTGTTCCAGGCCTTATTTCATTGAAGATTCAAATATTCAAAAAACGGTCAAGGTTCTATGCACTCAAAGGACAGAGCACACAGCTTCAAATTCTTGAGCTCTTTAATCTATTCTTGTTACTGAAGGGGGTGGGGTATTGCCAATGAATTGGTTTCAAAGCAACTCAGGGTACAAATGTCAACTCCATCTGCTCACTAACTGTCATCTATCCTGTAAACAGAAGGAACTAGGATCTAGGGTTTCTGAGAACAGCAATCTGGGCTGCTTTTTTCTTCTGCTTGAACACTATCATTCTTTCACCATCATCACCCAGTTCAGAAGGGTTATGAATTTGCACCCTCCCATGACACCTGCCACAACTCTGAACTGGTGGAGTCTGAACTTGAAAACAAGTCAATCCTGTACAACCTTCCCTACATCCTTGAGGTCAAAATTTGGAGTTATAATTTGGCAGCAGCACCAGTTACACAAGGAATTTGTGAATGAAATTTCAAATTTTTTGCCACAATGTGGCACATGTGGTAATTTTTGACTCCCGTTATTTGACCTTTCAAGCAGGAGAACAGTGTTAGGGTGTTGCTAGTTGGTGTGAAAAGGGTACTGACTTGGCCGTTGGTTAACCAAAATCCTCATCCATATTGTTTAATGAGGAGTTTGCATGTGTTGTTTGATTCAGAATGAACTTTTCTGTCTGCATGATCTCTAGTGTATGGTGGCATGGATTTGTATGTAAGATTAAGCATGTCTAGGCTTAGTCTGTGCATATTCATGAATGTGTAAGGTAAGGTATTTTATTTATTTATTTATTATTATTATTATTTTGTTCTTACAATGCGTCATAACATGAACACAAGTTAATCCTCTTGTTGATCACATTGTGATTGGATTTTTTGTGTAATTATAAGTATTTGTTCCAAGCTATGGATAGAAATGTTTTGAAGCTCACAATTCTAGATTTCCAAATGAACATCTATGAGAGTTATAGTCATTCTATATGAAAAGTGCTCTACCTTAACACTTAGAGTAACAAACTGCCAATATTAGAATTTATAGTGATCTCTAAGTAATCAATGAAGTTTTTAGATATTAATCATTTAAAAATAAACAGGAGTTTATTTATTTAATTGATGCTTAGGGTACTACTTTGTGCAATCAATTTTCAAATCATGTCACACGTCAAAACTATTTTCACCTCATTTATTTATTTTTGTTGTTTTCCCCTTTCCCTTTCCTTTTCTACTGACCAAATCTATCTGTTGGCCAATAATTAGAATCAGTTACTAGCAGGATTCAAATTCTGCACAGGGTCAAAAATTCTGAGACCTTAATACCCACCTTCATCCACTGGAGGAAACCTCTGACTGAATTTGAATTTTGTGGAATGGGGTACAGTAACTATGTGGAAGTTTGAATCTTAGTTGCCTTTATGAGGATTGCAGATTTTGAAGTAGATTTGGGTGTAGATAATCAATGCTTTGTTGCCAGGAAGGGAGAAGTACCCTCAGTCCATTTGAGTAATATAATAATGCCTGGATATACAAACACCACAGATGGGACATTCTACCACATCATTTCTATTTCAAACTGTTGCCATGGACTTCATAAGTGTGGCCCTTCCACCACCATGGGTCCTGCGTAAATAGTCTACTTTTTCTTGTAATTTTAATTTCAAAATTTGGACACAATATGGTAAAGCATTTTCTTACAAAACTTTACTTCATTGTATTTGACTCTCCTTATAGTTAGCAGCAAGGTTTACAACAAAGTCACTCATGAAAAAATGTTGTGGATCTTTGTAAAATATCAATATCCTCCTGTACAAATCTGTGCATGCTTGTACACAAGAAAAAACACAAAAAATGATGTTATGACAAAATGGTGGTCAATGTGGTGGGGAAAGATAGATCTAGCACCAGAACTTCACAGTCCTAGCAAACCTGAATAGGAGAGTGTGTGTATATATATGTATTTGCAATAAATAAAGTAAGTAAATCACATGCATTCAACACAAACCTTAAAAAAAGATTAGAAAAATCAAGGATGGATGAGAGTCCATATACTTGTAGGAATGCAAATCTGTAGGGTGTGACTTCCATGGATCTGCAGCTTCATGCAAAAAGTGTGAGCTTCAAACTGAGAATGATTTCTTAATTGCTAGAGTAGGGTGTACTGAAGCTATATGGGCACAATCACACCTACATCATGAGATACAAGGTTTATGCTAAGAGTGGTCTGTTTAAAACCACTAATAACTAACTACTGATTGGGAGATGTTGGTCCATTTAAATACATAATCTGCTTATTCTACTCTTGAGATATATTGTGCGTGGGTGGGATGACACTTCTCCAATGATCTTTCCCATGTTGATGTGACTGTCTCACAATATTATTATTTTTCTTAAATTAGTAAAAATGTGCATGTTGTAAATTTAATGTCATCAACCTACTAGACACATTTTAAATTCACATAAAGCAACTTTCAATGTTCCACCAATCAAAAAATGAGAATTTATTATAACATACTTATGGGTTTTTGCCATATGCAGCAAAGGCATATAACATGGCTAAGCTTACCATAAACCTGAGTTTTGATCCTCTTCAAACCTATTAATTACAACAAACCTATTGTCATCATAATTACCTGACTTCCAAATTAAGTTTAATGGTTAAAATTCAGCAGGACAAGTTCACACATGTTGCACATCTTGTGGAATAAGCAGGATAAATTACTTCTAGGATAATCTGAAGCACTCAAAGCTTGCACAGCATCTAGGCACATGAAAAAGCATTGATCCTTGTATTCTTTCTTGTGGATTTCAAATTCAGAAAGAACATCATTCTCATGCCATAAATTGCTGTCAAATACATGTGTTTCATGTATAGTAAAGAAGAGCTAGTTCATTTGAAGAGCCAACCACTCAAAACTGCCCACACAAATGCTTCATGATTGGTGACCTACAAATCATGATCTCCATGTTGCTACTGTTTCTCTCAGAGTTCAACAGAGGTGATAGATAGTCTTTCACAAAGGAATATACATTCAAATAAAATTTTAGATGGAATTGAGAGCAGGGCACTCATTCACTCTCACTCATGAACGAAGGGCCTTAATAGAAGCTCACCACACTCCACACTTAACAGTCAATTGATCCAACCTTGTGCCATTCACTAGAGCTCCAGCTTGTTTGAAATTTACAGCAGAATGGTGCTCACCCACAGAAGCAATCCTGTGATGATCTTTAGGGATCTCAAGCAGTTCTAATCCAAGGACAAATTTAAATCTTCCAAGGGTTTCAGAAGCCAGATCCATATAACCACCAGCACACTCAACTATTCAAGTTGCTTGGAGAATCACATAGTTTACTATGTAATTCCAAGGACCCATTCTCCCCTACATTACATATTACCTTGCTTGCTTTATGGGTACAAAGTGTGAAATAGGGCAGGGCTCGAGCCCACACGGGTCAATAAATTTTCTCAACGTTCAACTTCTGGAGAATCTGATCTCCTGATTGACTATGTTTCCCAACGAGAGATAAAGTGAATCTACCAAAATGGTTTGAGGATGTAATGTGGGGGCAGACTTCCCGAGGAGCGGTTGCGTCGCGGGGGCCTCGGTTTGTCTTGTCGTGTCTTGTCTCATGCGGGATGCCATTAAGGCGCTGTCCCTTGAAATTTGAGTTTCGCCATTGAACTCGCTGTCGACGTAGTCGTAGAATTTGCAGCATGAATAGCAGGCTAATGAGATGATGGGAGGGGTATTTTACGTGTCGCTCACCTTTCATCGCTAGGTGAGGGGGAGAGTGAGCGAGAGCGAGCTTTCAGGATTTCTTTGCTATTGGAATATGAGAGAGTCTTAATGCGACGGGCATGTTTTGCGCTTGTGTGTTTCTTGGTTGAGATTCAGGAGTCTCGAGAAACGTGCGCGTCGCTCGCGCCTCCATATCTCGCAGCCATTGGCCCTCACGGTGATTAATCATCTGATTGAGACAGCTTTCATTGCTCCTTCTTGCACCGCCCTTCATTGCTCTCCGGTACGCCACCCTCTCCATCAACTCCTATTCAATTTTTTGTTCCGTTACCAGGTTTCAAATTGGAGCTGGACTTGTCTGTCTTGCAACCCGGGTTACTCCAGTGTCCTCCTTCATTAATTTTCTAAGGAGAATTTTATGAGAGCAATAGTGCATGTAGCGAATAGGTCTCTGCACTTCGGAAGTATGTCCCTCCGCTATAGTAGATGATACGTGTTCATTAGTTCTCGGACAAGCTCCTTCTACCGTCACGAGCTCAAATTGTTCCAAGGAGGATCGGCTGCTGCAGGGAAGGAGCGGTATGGTGGTAGGTCACCTTTCAGTTGTCTTCTCATCAACCGGCGATGGTGACTCTGTTGAGGCAATAATTTTGTCGCTCCCAAACGACGAGCATTCTTTTGCAACTGGAAAGCTCTTTGCAGCCGCACGCTTTCTCTTGGAGAAGGAGAGTTAGGAGCAATGGGAGTGAAGAGTGATGTAGTTTGTTAGCACGTAGTAGCTGGACTTGGGGAGCTTTTGCAATAGATGTTTCGTGCTTGATTGATGACTGTGAGTTGTGGTCGACTAAAATGTGTCGACACGATCAGAGCCTGGTGGTTATGAGAGTCTTTTTCGAAGGGAGCTTAGTGTTTTCTCGCAATTTGTACGCACCTCTCTCTTTCAGGTCAGTAGCAGTGAGTGAACGTCGAAGTTGGATTACTAGAGTTGTTTACTTAAGAACCGCTTCATAATTTCGGAGGCGAGCACTATGGTACTCTTAGTAGTGTAGTGTCTGTAGTTATGTCCGAGGAACTTGAATTCATTCTGTTCCTTTGTTGAGAATTTTAAGAGCTGTTGGTCATCGTTTGAATTGTAGGGGCTGGTTTAACAGTAGGATTGTCAGTTTCAGGATTATATGTATGCAGTGGAGGATCGGAGAAATTGAAAATTGACTGTAGTCTCATGCCTTTCTATCCGCCAAGGTATATCGGTCTTGTTAAATCGCGATTCTTCACACTCGGTCTCGGCAGGGTACCCAGCAAATGATTATTTTTGAGGCGATTTTTTGCCAGTCCACAGATCGTCAAACATTTCACTCTGGCACGCAATTTGCAAGTTCTGAGAGTGTCCACGGTGCGGGTCCACCGGTCAAGTTCTGCGTAGCAATCAAGGTTATTGGTTTTGAACTTTAATTTTAATTTTTTTTCCTCCCTTGGTCCGTGTGCTTTATTCTAAGGCGCTGCGCTTCCCGTTTTCTATTTTGATCTTCACCTTTTTCACGTGTACAATGTATCGGTACTCATCTTGCAATTTTTTTGGGTTGTTAGTATAAATGCAAGAAAGGATTCTGGAACCTGTTAGATACTTTTAATGAAACCGTCAGGAACCTAAAATCCTTCCAGTGGTCAATGCATTGTTACAGTTTCTTTTTTCAGGTCTTCGTATTCTACACTGCTATCCGCCATGTTTTTCATTCTCTATGGTTCCTATTGAAATGGTCTCGTTGAAATCCCAGGAGTGAATCATTTAATTTAATCGACTCTTTTTATATATGTATCCACTCGCTTGCAAATTTGAAGTCGTCCAGGGATCAATGTCTTTTCATATGAAGCGATAGAGATGAGCGCACAGCTTCAGATGCTGCTTATGTAATTTGCTTTGCTTAATTTTGTTACTGTGGCATTCTGTGTTCAGGATGATGAAGTATTTAGCTGGTTTGTTCCCCAGGTTAAAAGGGATGGGTTTATAGCGTGACAAGTTAGAGCTTCGATAGACTACTTATATATATTTCCAAGTCTTGTCAGAACAGCCAACTTTTCAGAATGGGAAACCCTTCGTCAGGATCCAAAGTGCAAACAACTATGTCTCTTCCGAAAGGGAGACACAGGCAGTCGCTATCTGTGGGTGGCGCGTCCCTACAACTTGAGAAGTATGATAGATTGAGTAGCAGTGAGAGGATATCTTCGACTGTGTTGAGTCCCAGAACCACGGAAGAGAAGGCTATTGCTGCCTTCCTAGGCGACAAGAAGACGAAACGAAGGACAAGGTCATCTCTGGGAGGAAGTGAGGAGTTCATCAAAGGATTTTCAGAACTTAATGGAGTCGCTTTGGCAGCAGAAGAGAGAAAGCCTCTCGGCACCATACCATTCCGAGGTGAGTGCGAGAGCTACATTCAAATGGTGCTTTCGGAATGCTAGTAAAATGTCACCGCACTTGAACTTGTGCTAGACCCCTTACGTCGTGGGATTCCTGAATCCCGAACTTTTCGAACTGTAGAACACTTGATGATTCGCATGACTCGAGTTGCATTCTTCTGCTGTGGGCTACACTTTCACTAGTCTTCTAACTAGTGAAGATTCCGACACTTCATTTCTCAGGACACCGGAGAGCCGGATCCGGGAATGTGACACCCAAAGCTGCGGAGTCTCCCAGAGCGAAAGGAATGTGCCCTCCTCCAGGGGTAGAGAAAAATGCTGTAACGAAGATGTCAGCCTCCTTGTTTCATTCTCCTACAAAACTTGAGCGGTCTATGTCATTATCAAGAGTAGCCCACAGAGTCATTCCAGATGCAGATAGAACTCCACGCTGTCGAGCCGGAGTAGGTGAAGTCATCCTGCCCGGAAAACGAGACGCGCTGAGAGAACTGAAGCGGCAAGATCTTCCGAGGGGCCACCGAAGTGAGAATGGTTCCGGAAGGAAATCTTTCTCTGTACACCTGGAAAAGATAATAAGTTGTGGGAATGGAGAAAATTGCGATGGACGGTCTTTTTCCCATACTGGTAAGTTACCTGCACTCTTACAAAAAATTTAATCCTGGTTAATCTGAGAAGGTTGACAATTGAAGAAAGGACTTTGCGTGCTTACCAATTCGATTGTGGTGCTATTTTACCTGGTCCGTATTGAGGCAGTAATCTCAATTTTCTCATCCGATTTCAGGTTCTGGTGGTCTAAAGTCTAAAAAGGGAGTCACGCCATCCGATCATGTCAATGACGAGAACTCTCATTTTGAAAACCAACCACAAGGCACTAAAATGCCCACTCTAGAGACATGGTCGAGCCATGAGCAATGGAACTGGAATGCTGCTTACATGCCAGTCAAAGATATCCATCCAGTGTGTTTCGAAACAATCACCAAAAAGCGCAGCGAGCAGCCAATGACTACAAGATCACTGGATTTGGGTCGTGATCTTTACGGAAGCGCAAGGAGATCCTCATTCTCTAATGCTGCGTCGATGCAACTGTCCTGTGTATCGAAGGGCTCTAATCCCGACGGATCAGAATCTTTCAATGAGTCACTAAGTGGAAACTTGTCAAGTACCCACATCGAGAACTCTTACCGGATTAAGCATTCTGATGCACTGTTGATTTCACAGTCGTTGGGCTCTGGGTACCTATCATGGCAGCCTTCCCCTAATATCACACCTTCAAAAAGACAATCTTTTTTGGACCAGACCCACCAGAATCTTAAGAATTTGCATTGCCACCCACTTCCATTGCCCCCACCTTCCCAAGCTAGTCAAACGACGGGAACAGTTGCAATCCAACAAGAGAAGCAGAAGAAAGCTGCTTCTACTCTCTCTGACAAGGTCACTGAGGAAGACCTTACTGAGGCAGCAATCCTCTCTAGTCTCGTTGGTGAGGATGATCCTGCCGGGCCAGTACTCATATCAGAGGAATCTAAACGAATAGTTCCAAGTGCGAGTCTAGGTCGGCAGGTAGGAGAGGTCCTATTCAGCAGTGAGAGAGAGATTGGTTTGAGGAATCCCAGCGGTCCTGATGCATGTTTACGAAAGAGTATCAGCTTCGAGCCTACTACTGAAGAGAAATCGAGAATTGGACATGAAAATAGGAATAAACTGCGGAAGAGGAGAAGAAGTGTTTCTGCTTCAGGCATTGGTGCCATGCTTCTCAAGGTTGTGCGCGTATCCGACACAGGACCTAGTGAAACGATGACAGTGCCTATCGCAGATGCTAAGGTTTCTGGGGTAGATCAAAATAGGGACTACCCTGATCAAACTATTATGCCAAGGGGTAGTCAATCTCAGTTCCCCACCACACGTCTTCACCAAGATTGTCTAGCCGAGGTTCGAGTTCTCACCTGAACTGATCTTAAACTGAATTTTGAAATCCTTGTATGGTGCGTTATTCAATGAGAACGTACCTTAAAAAGACTTGTCCATCCTCGCCGCAATTTTCTTCTGTTACCCCTCTAACCTTGAGTAGGCGTGTTCGAAGTCTCTAATTACATCCTGGGGTGGTAGATTGTTCAGCCCGAGGCCAATAGCACCGAGGTTGTAGACATGGACGTTGAATACCAGAATTGCAGCACTGAGCTCGTGGCTCCTGATGTAGCCAGCTGTGGTGATGTAACTACAGAAGATCTTTCTTTCAGCGAAGATATTGAGCGACCATCTGAAGAGATGCAAGGAGGTGAAACTGAAATGGTGTTAAATCTCACTCAAGGAGACCAACTTGCAGGTAGGCTGTTCAATTGTAAACAAAATATCTTCTGGTGCTCCTGGTGTTCATAGTCAACGGCTTCGAGCTACGTTGTACTACATTATTTTCTCCACTTGCCAGAGGTCACATGGGTTCATCCATGCAAACTTACACCTATGGTAATTTATTTCAATGAAATGAACAAAGGTGTGTAACTACTATATTTCATGCAGGTTCCGGATCAGACAGTGTCGGGCCGAATCCACACGACAAGCAAGGCAACCAAAAGATTCTTCTTGAGACAATTGGCAATCCCGATCCTCTAAACGCAGATGGAAATTGCCCAGAAATCTCAGCGGACGCAGGGATTGAAGACCTCGAAGATAATGCGCATCAGAGAGAAGAAAGTTTCAGAAGTGTACCGAACTCGAAGGTAGTTTGCCAGGAAGAGAAGATTAACAATCGGGAAGCCTTGCTGGAAAATGCCAGGTTAAACGCGCCGAGATTTCTCAAGCGAGAGGAAGGTGTTGGAGGCAGCCGAAGAAAAAGATTAGGTAGCAAAGGACGGGTCTCGTACGACTTGGACAAATCCGCAGGTGCACCAGCTCTTCTCCAATCTGCAACACTGTGAACAATGTGGATTATGAAGGAGTATTTCAAGTCTAGGGTGTGTTTAGAGCTGGATGATTTTAACCAAAGAATTTTTTGACCGTGCAGAGTGGAAAGCGAAGAAAGCTGAAGTTTCTGAAGCAGATACTGAAACAGAGCATACTCAGGCGATTGACACCGGCAGCAAACAGCCTCCAGCCTTACTAGACGAGAATGTGACCATAACCAAAGAACGACCTCGCAGCTTTGGGTCCATGTTACAAGTTTCTCCTCTCGATGAGATGCGCCTGGCTCCGTCTTCCATATCCATTTTGGCTAATCCATCTTTCTCCAGCTCTCACCAAGATAGACTGTGGGAGGAGCAAGCTGAAGCCTATTCCAGTGGAGGGAGGGGCACTCCAGGTAGAGAAGACGACACTGCAGCATACGTACCCCTCCAGTCGCCAACGCGAGGTGGTACAATTTCGTCTGATGACCAATCCCACTCCGCCGCTGGTTCCTTAAGAAAACCACACGGAGACCTAAGCGTCATGAGCACCACTGGTGTCGTCAGCGACAGTGGACACAGCATCGACAAAAGGAAAGGGCTAGGAAAGAAGAGGAGCAGACCTCGAACACCGCTGCGAAGCTTGATGGCCGAAGATCACCACAGCAAATCCTCCAGCATTAAGTCTCCTGACAGCCATAGCCACTTCCTACAGCACATCATGTCTCGCATCAGAGGAGGCTCCAGCTCAAAATCCTTAAGTTCTAAAAGTCAAGACACCATACCCAAGAGACGGACCACTATCTGGAGCAGTTGCATGTGCTTCTCTCACATCAGGTAGACTAGGTATTTAAACAGACTCATGGAGATGGGAACCATGGAGCACTTGCGTGTGCTTCTCTCACATTAGGAAGATTAGGCATTTAGACGAATCCATGGAGGTGAGAACCATTTCAGGAATGAAAATTAATTGGTTTGTGGATACACAGATTTTTTTATGTGCCACACAAGGCCATTTTTCATCTCTCTGGCAACAATGTTATGACAGGTTTGTAAACTCTTAATCTACCATAGGTGAATTTGTTTCAGTCGCGGTCCTTATCCTCAAGTACAAATTAAACCTCCACATTTAGCAAATCTCACAAACCTTATAAACAATCTGAAGAAACAATGGCGCGGAAGTGAACGTCGTCTCGCTTTCAAGCTGAAACTTGGATACGGATTCTGTTCGGCTTAGAAGAAGGTTCAAAACCATGATTTTCCAAGGACCGCAAAGGGATATCCTCGGTACACCTTCACATTTCAAAGTTACATCTGCCGCAGGGTTCCATTCTCTGTTAGTACCGCAACCTGTCGGTGTCGGTGACATATGAGTTTGAGGACAAGCCCTAAACCGCAGTCGACGAGAGTTTGCTTACGGAATGAAGTGCATGTGCAAAATTAAACTCTTCATCCCGATGATATTTGTTCATGCATTTGCCAGGACAAGGGATTGTGAAGAAAAGGGATGGAACTTGCAAATTGTGCAACTGTAGCGCTCCCCTGCAGTCGGTAACTGTAATCCTTTTAAACACTGTTGAACAAATCCTAATTCATGGTCTCACCCACATTCCCCTTGATACAGATTGCTAAGACAAGCATCTTCACCTCCTATGTTACTTTTTCTGGGTGTTTTTACTTTTGCTAAACAATCTGATTTATGGAGAATTTCGAAGGAATATTTTCACAGTTCCATTACACAGTTCAATTACAACACTAGTGGCTGCATTTTGGGGTCTTCTTTGGATTACTTAATGGCTCACTTTCCTCAATATAACCTTTGCTTGAAGCAAGTGATTACTTTCCAACCACACACACACACATATATATATATATATATATATATATAATTACCTTTGGAATCTCAATGTTTTTTCAAATTTATTGTTAGTTCTAGTGAGAAGATATTGTTGAAGATCACCAAGTACTTGCTTAGTTACAACCACATAGAGATTAAGCATAGTATGTTGCTAATAGTCAAAAGGCAGCAAAGAATTAAAAAAAATTACTATGGCGGTATCTAAGGTTTAGTTGGATGAAGTAGAAATGGATGTAAGATCAAAAGGATGGAAGTTGCTTCAATGGTTAACAAACCACCACCTGTAAGTAAAAAGTATTAGAAGTAAGAATTATCTTATTCCATACTTCTCTTTATATGGAAACCTTGCTGATGCTAAGTGTTTGTAGCTTTTAGACTTCTTTTCTTCAATAGGTTAGGGGCCCACTCACATTTGCTTAAGTATTTTGAAGTTCTTTGAAGTGGTTGTTGATGTGTGGAGTAGATCAAGTTGTTGTTGTTGATGTTGTTGATGTTAGGATTTAGAAGTACCTAACTTTCAAATTCAAATCTAGATCTAGATCTTGGTTTGCTCTTACTTGTGATTAAGACCATTTTGGTGTTGGTGTTTGGTTTTTCACCTTAAGGCTAAGTTATAAAACACTTGCATTGTGCTATTGCTAAGATAGATCTTTGGTGATCTAACTTTATAGTTTCATGTCCTAAAGTTGCTGATTGTGCTTAAAAGATCTCGTATGGTATATAGATGTGATTTGTGAGCATAAGAGTGATATTGGAGTGGCAAATCAGATTTGAGACACTTAGATAGGTCATCAAACTTGTGAGAAGTCTTAGAAGTGAAGTTGAGAGTGTTTTTGAGAATAAGAACACTTATTTGTTCACAAAGAAGGATCTGTGATTCTAAGGCAACAAAACCTTCTTGTTGATTTTGAGAGCATTAGGACTTCTTCTTATAATCTTTTTTGATACAATTCTTCCTTAGACATGGCTTCAAGTGAGGGTGAAGGATTGAGAGTTATTGAGAAGTTTAGAGGTGAGAATTTCTACCATTGGAAGATAAAAATGGAGCTTTTGTTGGCATCTTTGGATCTTTGGGATATTGTAGATGAAAGTGAAGAGGCTCTAAGCATAGATGTTGATATGAAGGAGAAGAAGGAGTTCAAACATCATGAAAAGAAGGCTTTTCAATTGATTACAATTAATATAGATGAAGCCAACTTCTTCCATATTATCTCTTGCAAAGGACCAATAGAAGCATGGAAGATTCTTTGCAACATCTATGAGAGAAAGAACTTATCCAACATCATCTATATAAGGAGGAAGTTCTTCACTTACAAGATGGAAGAAGGTGAAGACCTCATGGCTCATTTCAATAAGATAAAGGCTCTTACAAACCAACTAGCAATTGTTCACAAGCCTCTAGAAAAAAGTGATATTATCATGACCATGTTGATGAACCTTTCCAAATTCTACAACTACCTCATTGTGGCAATGGAGTCCATTAAGCTAAAAGAACTTACAATAGACTATATGATGGCAAGACTTGTCCATGAAATAACCAAGAAAAAAAAAAAAAAAAAAAAAAAAAAAAAACCATAAGTGAAGATTCAGCATTCTACTCACGTCAAGGTAAGGACAACTATTCAAATCACTGAGGTAATATCAAATCTTGCTTCATTTGTGGCAAAGTAGGCCATTTTGCTCGAAATTACTACAAAGGCAAAAAGATGGAAAATGAGAATGCAAATAATAAGCAAGATGAGTTTAGAGGACAAGATCATGTATTCACGGTAATAAATAGGACCTCTATGGCTACCTTGTCAAGATAGATTGTCGATTCAAGTTGTTCCAAGCATATAACACCTTATAAGTATTCATTTGATACATATGATGCTATTCTAGCATCAAATGTGGTATTGGTGGATAGCGATACATAGAAAGCAATTGAAATTGAGTCTATTGTGGTAGAAGTGGTTGTGAATGGACAAACCAATAGGATCAGATTAAAAAAATATCCTTCATATGCCTAAGATGAAGCAAAACATACTTTCAGTGTGTAAACTTGTAATGGAAGGTTTTAAAATTCAATTCTACATGAATGGATGTTTTGTAAAAATATTGAGTGGAGACAAGATCTTCAAAAGTTTAGAGAGGGAAATTTGTACTACCTCATTTCTAAGAAGGTGAATGGAGTGGAGGTAGCTGCATTTGCTGAGTTTACATCAAACTAAGACAAGTTGAATATATAGCATTGTCGCCTTGGTCATTTCAATGTGAAGAGCATGAGAGAGATCAAGTCTATGGTAAGTGGCTTAGATCTTAGCAATACAAGCCAAAATTCAAAACAACTTGCATGTGAAGGATGCATACAAGGCAAATAACAAAGGGCCTTATTTCTAAGTAGCATAGCAATACGTGCTACAAATTTGCTGGAGATTGTCCATTCTGATGTATGTGGATCTATGAAGAACACAAGTATTGGAGGATCAAGGTATTTTCTAACTTTCATTGATGATTATTCAAGAAAGATTTGGATCTACACTCTTAAAGCCAAGAGTGAATGTTTTTGGAGGTTTAAGCAATTTAAAATACTTTTTAAAAAATAAAGTGAATATAAGATCAAGGTACTGTGTACGAACAATTGAGGTGAGTACATATCTAAGTAATTTGATTTTTATTTTAAGAATGAAGGAATTGCTAGACAAACCACAACTCCATACACTCCACAACAAAATGGTGTTGCTGAAAGGACAAAATTGAACCATCATAGAAATGGCAAGGAGCATGTTTTATGCTCAATACTTTAGTTATGAGTTTTAGGTGGAAGCTATGGTGAATGCAATGTATATAAGTAATAGGTGTCTAACAAGTGCTCTTGCATCAATGACACCATAAGAAGCTTGGAGTGGAAGACAAACTTGCATTTCCCATATAAAGACCTTTGGTTGCATCTCATATGTAAAAATACCAGATTTTATGAGATCCAAACTTGATGCAAAAGGTACAAAGTGTGTATTTCTTGGTTATTGTGAAGGTACTAAGGCATATAGGCTAATATGCTTGGAAACCAAAAAGATCATCAAAAGTCGTAATGTTGAGTTTTTGAAGCACAAGAATGCTTGTGAGCACTTAGAGATGTGTCCAAGTGGAAGTAATGGTGTGTTTGTGAATATATCTTTGAATTCAACAAAGAAATAAGAAGATGAAGTCAATGAAGATGATGAAGATGAAAAGCCAAAGAAGGTTGAAAAGATGAAGGCTCCTAGAATTGCTAGGAATAACAATAAAGGAAATGAAGATGTTGAAGATTATGATGATGATGATGAGGAGGAGTACCAACTATTGAATGAAAAACGATAAGGTTTAAGAGAGAAGAAGGTTGGAAAAGAACATGGAGTGCAATAAGGTGAATTTTCTTCTTTAAGAGAAAAAAAAAACAACGTGGTGAATGGTAGAAGGATCACATCTTTCCTCAAGTAAATGAAGAACATGCAAATCTTGCTCTTCTTACTGATCCGTTATCTTTGTATGATGCATTGAAGTTCCAAGATGAAATAAAGTTGGAGAAGACTATGGAAGAAGAATATCAATCTCTTATGGATAATGGTACATGGGAATTGGCACTCCTTCCAGCAAATTGATCTAATGTTGGTTGTGGTGGATGTTTAAGACTAAAAGAGATGTAATGGGTGTGGTAGTAAGGTACAAGCTAATACATGTCTAAGGTTGGATCATTGCATTGGACAATGGTAAAGAGGATATTGAGGTACTTAAAAGTTACAAAGAACTTCAAATTACACCTTGGTGGTAAGAACATTGATTTGCAAGATTATTGTGATGCGAATTGGGCTGGAGATGCAAATGATAGAAGATCTACAATAAAAATATGTCTTCTTCATTAGAATAGGAGCTATTTCATGGAATTGCAAGAGACAACTTACCATTGCAATTAGAAGCAACTCTAATTATGAGTGACAATCAAGGATGTCTTACATTTGTCAAGAAGAAAAAAGAAAAAAGAAAATAAAATAAAAAATAAAAAAATTAACGACTAAGCACATTGATGTTCAACATTATTTCATATGAAAGAAGATTGAAGATGGAATAATAAGTATGAAATATTGTATTACAAATGACATGCTTGTTGATGTGCTTACAAAGACATTAGTGAAGGATAGACATCTT